GACATAGAGAAAAAATTTTCTACAAAAAATTTATAACAATTCAAAATGGAGAATATAGCATAATGAATATTAGAAAATTTAGCATGTGGAAAATTTACAAAGAAAGAAATCGTATTTCTTGAATTCTTTGAAATATAAAATTCAATTTGATCTAATTTAAATAATAATTATTAATGTGTAAAAATTATCAGAAAAAAAATGAAAACAACCGGTATATATATCGATCTGCAGTATATTAGGAAGGAAGGCAGGATTCGGTTTCCAAGGACATGGAAGAAGTCCTCTTTGCCATCTGGCGGTTTCCTGCAGTATCACCTGACTGCAAAATATCGTTTGCAGCTCTCTACAGTTCTCGGCTGCCGATATTTTCATCGGTAGGCGAAAAAAGTTACAGAGCTGGACGACTCAACACTTACACGGTACATAAATATTTTCTGGCCCCATTTCGGGTCTAAATAGAAATTCTAAATGGCCGGGTCTCGCGAGATTCAACCGCAAAAGCGCGCTAAGGGGAAAATGAAACGTTTACGGTTGCCAATCCTCTTTGCGCAGCTGCACTCGTAAATCGTGTGGTGGAACGTGAATGTTCAAATAGCTGAACAGATTAATATACACGGGGCAGTTTCACGTCTTTGGTTAGCTAATCTTAACGATAATTTTACACGCGGGTAATCTCGTTGGAAACTGCGAAAACTGCGTGGTAAAACACGAGGTTGAGTAACGATGGTGGGGGTAAATGGTGCAAAGATGAGAGGAAAAAGAGTGCAGCGAAGACAGCACCTACGTAGACGTAATTGCTAGCCAATTTATTTAAATACAAGCTGAACACTCGTTAAAGTTGATGGCGGCCTACCTTACCGGTTGAGAAACCTGTCCGCGAATGGAACACGTAATATTAAGGCGCATTCACACGTTCCATCCAGTGGCTGTTGCCCATTTGTAGTGTGATGCAAGTTGAACGAAATTTCGAAATTACCACCTCGAAACCTATATTTAATGCGATTCAAATCGTTTTCGCCCCGATTCGAATCGGTTCTTTTTAACCGTAAACGAAATAAATCGACGTTAAGGTAATTGGAGAAGCCAGCTGCCCGGTTTAATACCGCCACTGCTTTTAATATTGATAATATATACGCATATATATACATCCAGCGCAATGCTGCATTAAATCATGAACTCGAGTGTCAAGATGCCATTGTCGACTTAAGAGGTTTATTATAGCGTGATGAAATGCGGACCGATTTGCATAAATTCAATCGCAATTAAAATAATGCTATGAATTATTAATTTTCATTCGTTTTGCGCGTGAAAAATACGTATCTTGATTATCAGTCATTTTTTTTTTTTTTCATGAATAATCTGTTTTTCACACGAATTATTCATAAATTATTCTCATGATCATTTCGCATCCTTGAGATCGAAGTTAATAAGATCGAAAATCCGGACATCGCATGTAAGAAGGAATACAGCTGCTCAATGTCGTTTGGCCTAAGAGCCATATTTCATAATTATTTAGAAAGTAGCGGAAGCATAAATATAAGAAATATAAGATTCATTAGCGCATTATCAAGATGGCAATGAGCGGTAAGTAATGTAATGATAGGATACAGAACTGCCCACGGGTAATGAAGAAAGTATGTTTTGCGACGACAAAGGGGGTAATAACGGTTGGTTAGAAGTATGCCGACCAAAGGCGAATGAATGAGTGGCAGCTTACACGTAAACAAACAAGTATCAATGCGTCCAAATTGAAACATAAAACGAAATGAATGAGCCCATAAATACTTAGACCTAATGGTAGGGTGCGGGTAAGCTATTGCTCGAAGATCGTTACTTATGCGAACGTTGTAAGAGAACGTGGCCCGATACCTTTGTAAATACTGACGATCGCTTCGCTTTTAAATGGCCGCTTTTAATCGAAATTCTAATGCCATTATTTTTATCCCGCAATTATCTACAGATCAT